AATTTGAGGTCAATCAGACATAATTTGATAGGTTTCGGCATCGGTTGAAGATGTTGAAGTTTCAAAGTTCATTGATTTTGAATTTAGGTATGAATTGAGGCCTCGAGTATGTCTGTATTATGTTATGGGACTTGTTGGTATATTTGGTCGAGGTCCTGGGGGCCTCGGGTGAGTTTCAGACGACGTTTGGATCAATTTCGTTGCATATTGCATTGTTAAAGGCTGCTGGTTCTGGTGTTTTCGTACCTGCGAAAATGGGCTCGCATGTGCGATGGTTGCAGAAGAGACAGAGGAGTTGCAAAAGCATGAAGAGGAGATGGGCGTGAGGATCGCAGGTGCGGGAGCTTAGACGCACATGCACAACCGCAGACGCGGTTCAAGGGCACAAAGCGCGATCGCAGAAGCGACTTAAAGACCGCAGGTGCGAGGGATTGCTAGTCAGGCTGTTTTCACAGATGCGAAGTGTTGCCGCAAATGCGGTGGTCGTAGATGCGACGAATTATCCGCAAATGCGAAAGTGTTGGGCAGAATGTTAAATACAAGGGTTCGCGATTTTAGCTTCATTTTTACATTTTCAAGCTCGAATTGAGGCGATATTTGGAGCAAATTTCACCATATGAATTGGGGTAAGTGTTCTCTACTCGGTTTTGGTTATATTTTATGAATCTAAATTCATTTTTGGCAATTGGTTATGAATTTAAAGAGAAAATTGGGGGGTTTGGCCTAAAGTTTCTATCTTCATGTTGGATTTTGTAAATTTTGTCGGGTTCCGAAGTGCTGGCCCAGGTTGGGATTTTGGCCGTTTTTGGGGTTTTGATTCAAGATTTGATCTTTTCGATCGGGATTGGTTCCTTTAGTATTGTTTGATGTACTTGAGTTGTTTTGGGTTAGTTTTGAGCCGTTTGGAGGTCGGAATGCGCGGGGATACAATCTTTGGAGCATCGCTTGGCTTACTCGGCATTGATATTGGCTTGTTCAAGATAAGTAACTCTTCTAATCTTAGTGTTGAGGGTATGAAACCCCGAAATACATATTATGTGATTGGTATTGAGGTGACGCACATGCTAGGTGACGGGCGTGTGGGCGTGCACCATGTGAATTGAGACTCTATTGTTTTCATGGCATTGTATAGTGGTCCTACTTTGTTGATATTCGTGTTTTCACCATGTGATAATGTAGTTAAGTTGTCAATCATACTAGATATCATGTTTAGGCATTATGCCGATATTGTTTGGACCCATAGTGGTCATTTCTTACTGTCATCTCACTGATTTCATTGATATTTCGTCCTCAGTCATATTCATGCATTCATATCATATCTCAGTCACAGTTATTTATTAATACATCATATCCTTGTTGTCGGGCTAGTTTCATGACATTGTGAGCCCGTGAGTGAGAATAGAGAGATTGATGACTGAGTGAGGCCGGGGCCCTGTTTGTGAGGATGTTATCACTATAGCATGTGAGTTGTCCGTGAAGCATGTGAGTTGTCCGTGCGATTCCAGATGTTGATATTATAGCACGTGAGTTGTCCGTGCGGCACATGAGTTGTCCGTGTGATTTCAGATATTAATATTATGGTACGTGAGTTGTCAGTGCATCATGTCAGTTGTCCATGCGGATTATAGCGCTTGGGCTGAAAGGAGCCCATCCGGAGTCTGCACACCCCAGTGAGCGCAGTCAACTCGAAACATGGATCGGGCTGCACACCGCAACGGGTATTGTATAATACTGAGTGATTTAGTATGTTGAGCATAGTGAGAGAGAATGCGAGACAGTGAGATTGAGTACTCTGAGAGTGTGAGTACATGAGCTCATCATCGAGATGCATTTCATTAGATATGCATACTTGAAATACATGCATAGAGGTGCATTTCCTTCTGCTGCCCAGTTTTGGAGACATTTATGATTTTACCTGTATCTTGACATGTAGGCATAGAGAAGTACTTTCCTCATGCTATTTGAAAATGAAACATCTTACTATTTGTTGAAAGGAGTTTTGGGAAAAAATACAGCTTTCAAACTTACTCGTATTTTGGCTTTTTTGGTAAAAGATTTAGATTTTTCCTAAGATACATGAAAAGAAATACCTATTTTTCTGAAACTGTGAACGAGCTAAGCCTTTTTATTCGGGAATATTTTACATAAGAACAACTAGGCTCCCTACTTTTCAATTTTATAGCCCAAATTTGAATTTACAACCAACTAGCCCAAAAATAATAGGCTAAGATTCAACATTCAACTCCAATAGGTTCTCGAAATTACTATTTAATTTTTAAAAAAGATTGCTCAAGCTTTGAAGTTAATTTTCAAATTAGTAATTATGACTCAAATATTAGTTCAACAAACCAAATCCATTTAGGTAGTGAAAATTAGATTTTTAACAAGCTTAAATATCTGGGTTTAAATTTTGAATTTGATTTTGTGATAAATTTGGACCGGGTGTTATTTAGACTTGTTAGAAATAGTATAAGGAGATTGTATATAAAATTTGAAGTCATTTAATGGAGATTTGGATTGGTTTTGAACAAAAATTACAACTAAAAATCGTGGAAGAAGTTCGTCTACAAACACTTATATAAAGGTGTATAAAAGTGTATAATAGTGTATAAGATGTGTTTATACACTATTATACAAGATTACACATAATTATACAAAAAACTGACTTCGTCTTCTTCCTTACGTTTGTTTCTGAAATTTAACTCAAATCTTGCTCAAATCTACTCCAAATCACTTCAAATTTAAATTTTGAACTACCTTTTGATATTTTCAATAAATTGGAACAATGCCCAATCCAAACAACTAACAAACTCAAAAAATCCTATTTTTAAAAATAAATCTTTGAATGACCTTCAATGGTGAACTTCTACTCTTCAATTTTCTTACATTGCAACCAGGTGATACAGGGGGAGAAGCAGTAATGGCAGACGGCCCCTTAAAACATATGTAGAAGATGTGAGAATAAGAGAGAGTGAAAGCAATGGTTGTGAGAACACAGATTTAACTCCATAGTTTTTAGAAGCAATAGTTGTAAGAACATAGATTTTGAATTTGCTAGTGCTTTCAAAATATGTACAATATGGGCTAGGTCGGGTAAAACTTAAAAATACGGGCCATTTTTTATTATGGTGTGAAGTCAAGTGTATTTTCTTGTAATTCTTTCTTTTTATTCTGAGATACTTCTTTTGTTACTTGTACTGTGCTATTATGAACTGTTGTGAAATATTGGTGTTGGACCCGACCTTTTTGTTAGCTCGTCACTACTTTCAACCTAAGGTTAGGTTTGTTACTTATTGAGTACATGGGGTCGGTTATACTCATACTATACTTCTGCACCTTGCGTGCAGATATTGGCTGCTGATATTGATGTGTTCGATGGGAGTTGGATTTGAAGATGTACCTGCATCCCGGTTGTAGCTGCCTCTTGTTCATGGTAGCCTTAGATCTATAAAACTCTGTTTATGTACTTTTCAAACAGACAATGTATTTTATTTCATTTTAGTTTTGTAAACTCTATTCGTAGAAGCTCATGATTTGTACTACCAGTTCTTGGGGAATGTATAATATTCATATAATTTCTTTACTTAATTTCTTTATTAATTGTTATTGGAATCGGTTAGTGGTTAACTGGCTTACCTAACGGGTTGGGTTAGGTTTCATCACGACTAGTTGAATTTTGGGTCGTGACAGAAGTTAGGAACATGCAGTACATCATTTATTGCTAGAATTTTACCAGATGTGAGTTTGAGAAGAATTTTTTCTTTTCCAAGAACGCGAGTTGTTCTTGAGTCACCAAGACAAATAGTTTTTTCTCCTTCCTCAACTTGGGTGTAAGACAAAAATTTATTTTTGCCTTCACAAATGTGCCTAGTAGCACTAGAGTATATCACCCAATTTCTCATATTGACCACATTATTTATTTGAAAAATATCCGCGACAATTATATTACCCGCTTTAGTCAAATTTAATTTTGACATAGCGAGATTATCATTTATCCAAACTCTTCTCTTGCATTGAGGTGCATTTTTCTTGAAGGTTTTAATATTAGCATTGGATATGTAACCATGACTATTCACATACTTGTGTTTTGTCATTAGTGTCTGCCAAAGTTGTGGATGCAATAACGTATTTGTAACACCATGGATATCTGGCAGGACAACTAGAACAACAACAGCGGAAACAACACCAAAATTAGTAGCACCATAAAAAAATTTCGTAGTGGTATTACTTGCCATAGTTTCTTAGATTGTAGGGAAATGACACCGAAAAATAACAACAATACTGTGATAATATTATTTGTGAGCAAATACATGAATTAGCTTGAGTCGTGCTGGGCAATGTCCTAAGAAACTATTTTAGCAGTGTGAAATATTTCCTCGGGATTAAACAAGCTTATCTTTATTTATTTAGAGGATACATGAATGAACAAACTATTTATATTACAATAATCCAACAAGATTAAAAAGAGAATACGGACAAAGAAAATTTATAAATAAAATTGGAAATAAGAGAAGCTAAGCGAGAAAGAGAAGAAAGCACTACACCATTTTAGGCTTTTAGCTATCCATGAAAAATGTGGCCTAAGCTATCAAAAAGTGTGGCATTTGGTCAAAGGCCGTACTTTTTGACTTTAGGCTACGCTTTTTACGGATGGCCTAAACTAGTGTAACATTTTCGCTAAGACGTTCAAGTGTTGCTTAAGAAGTTACGCTTCAAAAGTGTGGCTATAAGGCACAGGGGCCACGCTTGTACATACCCCTTATAGCTACATTTTGCAAGTCTTAAACAACACTTCAGAAACGCAGCTTTGGTACTTTATAGCCCCACTTTTCATGCGTGCACCAACCCTCGTAAAGTGTTGTCTTTCTTATAAAATTATATTTTTAAAATATATTTATTAATCATATTACCAAATATATATATATAATTATTATATATTTTGATATCAATGCTAACGTAAGAGGATCTCAAGCACAACATCAACAAACAAATAACCAAAAAACTTCAAATGCATGCACTTGCTATTAACTTCTGCAAAACTTTATGTATTGCACTACTACATTAACTAATAAAGCAAATTGCTTAGAGGTGCATTCTAGGAATGAACTTTAAAAAAGTAAAACATATGTATCATGATAATACTTTAAACACATTAAATAGTTGAAGATAACATCTATTATGAACACCATTTGCTATCTCCTTGGCTGCATGTTTCATTTCTGATACATGATTTGTTTTACACCCTTTACATCATCTCCTGATTTTGTAATTGATCATTTTTTTGTAAGCTTAACCTCCCCATTAATCTAAGCAGCATGTGAACTTTCCTTGTTCAAACCAATAGAACCTTCTGAAGGTCTATAGGCCTTAAGTTCCCCATTTGTATTCTCTTTATTCTTTTTAATAGCTTTGCCTTCCTATACCTGCAATCGGACAAACAAAGATGCACTATTTGTTATAGCCTGCTAATAATTTAAAAATGTTATATCTATGTCAACTCCAAATATATAATATCATATAAGTACTATAAAGTTGGAGGGGTTCAAATACGTAAAAGCATTAATGGTAGGGGGATATATTGAAGGGGAGAAATCTATTTTGATAAGACTAAGCGTTTTCGAAGAGTGAAAGATGGGCCTAAATTCATGTTGAATAAACCGTCAATGCATAAATGAGCCTACTATTTAGGTAACACTCTCACGTCTTAATGGGATTATATAAAAAAAGGTTCTTCTTATTGGAACCATACCCCCTGAATCTCTCTGCTATTTGTAGCAGGATCATTCTCATTGTTTTCCAGCGTGATGTATTTCAACAAGCTGTTGCAACTTGAACAAAATTTGATAGGAAGAAACATAACAAAGTCACTTCTGCTGCAGTTTATGAGAGTATGCTCACGCAAATTAAAATCTAGAAAGAGAAAACCTAAGCTAATGTAACGACCCGACCGGTCGTTTTGAGTATTATAATCCCATTTCCCAATTTACTGCTCAATTTATGCCTTACAATTGATTTATGACTTATCGGGTTAGTTGGTTCGGGTCCGAAAGGATTTCGGAGTGAAATGAGACACTTAGTCTCATAATTGAAAACTTAAGTTGGAAAAGTTGACCGGATATTGACTTATGTGTAAACGATCTCGGAATTTAATTATGATGATTCCAATAGCTCTGTATGGTGATTTTGGATTTAGGAGCGTGTCCGGAAAATTATTTGGAGGTCAGTGGTGCAATTAGGCTTGAAATGCCGAAAGTTAAATTTTTGGGAAGTTTGACAGGGGGTTAACTTTTTAATATCGGGGTCGGAATCCGATTCTGAAAATTGGAATAGGTCTGTTATGTCATTTATGACTTGTGTAAAAATTTGAAGTAAATCGGACGTGATTTGATAGGTTTAAGCGTCATTTGTAAAATTTGATGTTTTGAAGTTCTTTATGCTTGAATCCGGGTGCAATCGGTGTTTTTAATCTTATTTGATGTGATTTGAAGGCTCGACTAAGTTCGTATCGTGATTTAGGATTGGTTGGTATGTTTGGTTGAGGTCCCGGGGGCCTCGGGGTGATTCCGGATGGTTAATGGAGGGTTTGGCGTTGGAGAAGTGCAGCTGAAGCTGCTGATGTTTTCCGCACCTGCGGAGTGGGAACCGCAGGTGCAAGGCCGCAGGAGTGAAGAAAGAGCCGCAGGTGCGGCTAAGGGAGACCTGGGCTCAGACCGCAGGTGTGATGGAAATCCTGCATCTGCGGCGGATGCAGAAGCGGTTTGAGAGGTGCGGATACGCAGATGGATCGCACGTGCAGCTTAGGACCCGCAGATGCGGTCAAGTGATCGCAGGAGCGGAGTCAGGCTCTTAATGAATTCTCGCAGAAGCGGATATCGGTTCGCAGATGCGATTCCGCAAGTGCGGAACTAGGACCGCAGGTGCGGTTTTAACTAGGCAGAAAACCCCAGCTCGAGGTTTTGTACTCAGTTTTCAATTTCGGACTTGAGGAGCTTGGGAGAGAGGCGATTTTTCGAAGATTTTCAAGGAAAATAACTAGGTAAGTATTCTTAACTTATTATTGGTCAAATTACCCGAATCCATGGTTGTTTTTAACATTAGTGGGTGAATTAAGTTGGAAAGATTAGAAAACTCTCTTGGTTTAATTTGAAGATTTGAGGGTCGAGTTGAGGTTGGATTATTGTAAAATTAGTATGGTTAGACTCGTGGTTGAATAGGCTTTCGGATTTTGTAACTTTTGCCGGGTTCCGAGACGTGGGCCCCACTGGCGATTTTTGAGTTAAATTTCGAATTTTTATGGAAAATTAACATTTTCATATGGAATTAATTCCAAAAAATTTATAGACTGAAATGAATTATTTGTGATCAGATTCGAGGCGTTTGGAAGCCAATTCACGAGGAAAAGACATTGCAGAATAAAAATTTCACGGCTTGAAGTAACAGTTTTAAATCTGGTCCTGAGGGTATGAAACTCCGAATTTTTGTGTCATGTGATTATTTTGGAGGTGACGCACATGCTAGGTGACGAGCGTGTGGACGTGCACCGAGGGGATTGTGACTTGATTTGTCCCGTGGAAACTGTAAAGTTGAATAACTTGTTGATAGCTATGTGCTCTCTATGTGTTGTGGAAATTTGATTATTAGCTATGTTAGAAACCATGTTTAGGCTATATGTTGGTACTGTTGGGACCCACAAAGGTCGTGTACATGTTGAACTATCTGCTTGATTGCTATTTTGTACTCGGTCACAGTTAACTTGATTATTTTATCCGAGTCTCAATTGTTCATTATTGATGAATCATATCATTGTTGTTTGGGCTGATTTCATGTATGTTGAGAACCCGGGAGACTGGAGAGATTTGTGACTGAGAAAGGCCGAGGGCCTGATTGTGAGGATAATTGTGGGATCGGGTTGCACGCCGCAGCAGGTCATATTGACTTTATATACATTATTATTATGTGGATCGGGGATGCCCGCCTGCAGCAGGCCTTATAGGCTTTATTACAGCACGTGAGTTGTCCGTGCGGATTATGGCGCTTGGGCTGTAGGAGCCCCTCCGAAGTCTGTACACCCCTAGTGAGCGCGGGTACCCATTGAGTGTGAGTGCTGAGAGTTGGGAGCCCAGTGAGTGATTATTGTCATGAGAGCCTGTACTTACTTTTCATTTGTTGATGCACTTAGTTGCTATCTGTTATTGTTGTGAAATTCGTGAAAGATCCAATATCCGAATTACATGAACTTGAACTATATAAAAATTGATTTGACATAAACTGCCGAATTTGAAAGCATGTCTATTCTTTGCTGGAATTACTGAAAATGAACTATAATTTTATAGCTCGTCACTATCTTCAGTTCTTTATTTATTATTGTTACTTATTGAGTTGGTTGTACTCATACTATACCATGCACTTCGTGTGCAGATCCAGGTGTTTCCGGTCATAGCGGGTGTTGATTCTCTCGCACAATTGACTTTTCGGAGATTCAGAGGTAGCTGTAGTGTTTCGCAGACCTTGTCTCCCATTCCCTATTTCTTTGTTTACTGTATTTGGTCTCGGACTATTATAGACCTTATTTTCCAGATTTGTATTCAGATTTAGATGCTCATGTACTCAGTGACACCGAGTTTTGGAAGTATTTATATTTGTACTTGTGAGATTTCTTCCGCTGAATTTTAATCATTATGTTTTCAAACTTAAAAGAAAAATGTGGTTTTATTGAGGTTGTCGGCTTGCCTAGTATCGAGATAGACGCCATCACGACAGGTGAGAGTTTGGGTCGTGACAGCTAACTAAATCTTGTACTCCAAAAATGCAACAGTGGCTGGGGTCTAGTCAATTTTCTCAAGAATGTTACCCTCACTTCAGAACGACGACTACTTTCACCTAGCAATCTTAAAGAAATTAGCACTCTTGGTGGATAAAATCATTTAAGTACTTAACAAAGGATTCTTCTTAATAAATAGAACGATGGCTAATGGAGAAATGCTTATTCATTTAACAGAAGTAAAAAAGAAAATTCACAAATATTTGAGTACTAAAGGTACAACAAATATTTTTCATTTATCAGAAGTATAGAAGGTACAACAAATATTTTTCTTGATTTAATATCATGCTCAAGTCGCCAAGATGGAAAAAGGATAAGATCAAAGCTATATTTGAGTCCTGATTTAGTAGGTATAAACAACCATATAGTACCTTTTCAAGAATCAGACAATAAGTTGATCCAGAGGAATGTGAAAAATTTTGGCTTATCACAGCCCGTGCACGACTCACATCAACCTAAGAAGAAGAGTTCATGCTATAAAGAAAGATGATCAGTGCCTCATGCGGAAATCTCTTTGTATAGTTGATAATCCGAGCATATCATATTGACATATGGAGAATGGAAGACTATAGAGTTGCTGAGTCATGCCCGAAAGCAGTATTTTTGACTAACTTGGTTCTCATATAATGAGTTTAGTTTTTGATTAACTCCACCTAAGATTGGAATATCATAAGATGAAGACACCATTTTGACACCAGATTTAAATAATCACTGTTTGGTTTTTTACAATTTAACAGATAATAGTTGGACTAAACTTGAGGTGCATGATAAGGAACAAATAGGAATAAAAGAAACTCATTGATAGCTTACCAAGGCTTATTCTATTATGCATCATAACTGAAACTTGTTTCATTTTGACGGGTCAGAAAAACCAGCAAATACCAATACTTCATGGAATAAGAAAAGTGATATCACTAATAGACTTGACAAGAAACTAAGCATGTATAGCAAGAAATGAAAAACAAATTAATGTGATTACCTTACAAAGGTCAAGAAAGCACCTCAATCTTGCTTCTTCATTTTATGTCAAAGCCTTGGATATGAAAAATTAAGAGAGATAAGAAGGCACAAGGAAGCCTAACCTTATTCATATCACACTGAAACAAGCTTGCCGTCATTACAGAGGTGCAATGATTACCAAAAAAGTTAAATTATATATTTGTTCACGAAAGGAAGTTGCTAATAAAACTCAAAGACAGCAAGGACCGCCATGGAATTGAAGTCTGATTCCATATCAAGCAAAATAAAATAGGAGATAGCTCCAATATAAACAAAACTAGTATGTGCTCACATATATTGTCTTTGAAAGAAAAAACTTTTCTCATTGCAAGATTACTAGGTAGCAATATAAAATGGCTTTCTTGACAATAAACATGTTGCTCAAGAACAAACACCAAATGAGGAAAGAACAACAGAAAATATTAGGATATAGAGAGACATCAATTGCAATTAGTGCACCCAATTAACATTAGCCCAATGATATTGTCATATTACCTAAAACAAAGCTTCTAATGTAACTTTTACACCAATATTATGCACTTCTTCAAAGAAAATATGATCGACTAATAGATCAATATCTTGTTCATTCGTTCTATTCGTACAAGTATACAAATGCAAGATGTGAATAAAAGAAATGTATCTCAGAGACTTTGTGAATGCAAGTAATAATTGAATTTGAAAGTGGAAAGCACATAAATAGGCAGAGTTTTATTTTACCAGAATTTAAAAGCATCCACAAAACAAAAAGAAGTTCAAGTACCTTGTGCCTCTTGGGGTCGCTGAGCAACTACTGCCTTCTTCTTCACCGTCGCAATCCTATAAACCAAATTTGAGACTTATTGTAGACAAAATGTTAAATGATACACCAACATGAACAAATCCCAAAGTGTTTGGCAGAAGAGTAATAACATTGTCCGAAGCAGCAAACCCACAACAATAGAAACCAAAATTAGCATACATATGACTAGCTATGACTGACCGATATCTCAAAAAATAAGAAATAGAATGTAATAATGAGATAACAACCAACACCTTACTAGCTACCAACCGTGACGGAAGAGGAAGTCGCAACGACTAGCACTGAACAAGTTAACCAATATTGCATTCTAGACACAAGCAGCAAACCAAATAACAAAATCAGTGTGTCGGAGTAGTACAAGTTACAACTCGATTTCACCGAATTAGTTCGCCGGAGAAAGAGATGGAGCGGAGCAAGTTCTCTAAGTCGAGGGCATTATTTGAAATTAGGGGAAAATGATCCATAATAGTGTCACAACCCAATTTCAACTAAAGCCAATAGTGACGCCCAACACTACACTTAGCCAACCCAACTAATAAATTAAATATATATTAATTATTTTTAGAATAATTTTTTAAGTAATTTTATTACTTTACTAGCAATATTAAAGAAAATAGAAAAGATACCGATTAATTTAAATCCAAGAAATAATACAAATTCCAAATTCTACTAATGTGTGTGCCAAGACGTGGTGTCACAAGTGTAAGAGCATCTAGTGGATTATACAAAACTTCAAATATTATGTGAAATAAAATTGACAGAATCAAAATACAAGGAGAGGCATTGGTAGCTGCAGAACGGCTCAGAAAGGTAGCTCACCACTACGCCTATAGATAACGTGGATGTGCAATGATAGGTCCTCCACTAATGTCTGCCTCAGATCCTGCACAAAAAGTACAGCAAGTGTAGTATGAGTACGTAAACAACGTGTACCCAATAAGTATCAAGCCTAATCTCGAAGGGGTAGAGACAAGATAGTCGACTTTGACACTCACTAAGGATCAACAATAATAAATAAAATAAAATAGAATTATTTAAATCAGCATGATTCATAGAGTTAACAATAATTTTATTCAATTAGCATAAATAATAAAAATCCTTCAAATGCAACAATTTCCAATCTATTAATTAAATCCACAAACTACAATTAAATTAACAAGGTATCGTGTAATTATTACTATTTTAGGCACGATTTCTGCCGAGGTCGTACGGCCCGTTCCAAAGTATCGTGTACACTGTCGAGGGACATGCGGTGCGATCCATAGATACATCTATCCTGCCAAGGCGTTCGACCCGCTCTACAAGAAAGGAAGACATTTTCTTATGTACCTCCGGAATGAGAGTATGTTTATTATAAGATAAATTCTAGAGGATGAACAATTTCTTTTAAAAATTAATTAATTTAAACAGAAATTAAACATATGAGATTTTCATCTTTTACTATCTCTCACTAACAATTCATAATATAAATCAAATAATTTAATTAAATAACGGATACAATTTACACAAGTAATTCATGCTTTGAGTCCTAAACTACTCGGACTTTAGCATTAATAGTTGCTACGTAGGGACTCTCTCACCTCGTGCGTACGTAGCTCCCACAATTAACAATAATTATTAATTTAATTACCTATGGGGTAATTTTTCCCTCACAAGAGTAAACAAGAGACCTACCTTGTCTCAAAGTCCTCTCTCCGATCACCACGTTGCGTTAAATTCTTAATTCGATGCCGAAAAATCCGAAACTATCCAAATGTTATACAAAATAATTAATACATGTTCAATAATCCGAACTTAGGGTGTTAAATAAACTACCCTAACCAAAATGGTAAGATTCCTAAAATTTACTCCGGACCCACGTGCCCGAATTTTGAAAATTTTCGTATGAAAATGTTACCCATAATATCAAGAACTCAAATATATAATTTCTATCCAATTCCATAACTATTTTCGTGGTTAAAATCTCGCTTTTATAAGAATCTAGGTTTTTCATCTAAACATTTGATTTTTAAGATTTACTAGTTATAATCTACCCATAATCTATGTATTTAACTCGAAGTGTGTAAAATTAACTTACCTTCAAGTTGCTAGTTGAACACCCCTCTCAAAAAGCTCCAAAATTGCCCAACAATGGAAGAAATGGGGTTAAAAATGGTGAAACTCCATTTTTAAGACATTCTGCCCAGCACTGATGACCCCTTCTTCGCGAATGCGATCAAGGCTTCGCGTTCGCGAAGGAAAAATTCCATAGCCTAAAAATTACCCTTCGCAAACGCGACAAGGGTCTCGCGAACGCGAAGGCCTACGCTGACTAAGCATCGCGAAAGTGACAGCTCTTTCGCGAACGCGGAGAGTAAAGCTCACTGGCCCTCCCTTGCCCCATTTCCCCTACGTGAACGCGAGTGGGGTTCGCGAACACGAAGACCTAGGCTCATAAGGCTTCACGAACGCGTGAGCCTGTTCGCGAACGCGAAGTGCAATTTGCCACTGCCCCAAATCCTTCTTCGCGAACGCGAAGAAGGAAACCAGAACTGGAAAATTTGGTTTCTCAGATTTAGCTCCGGGCAGTCCGAAACATACCCGAGCCCCTCGGGATCCCGTCCAAAGGCACCAACAAGTTTATAATCACAATACGGACCTACTCAAACTCTCGAAACACGTAAAACAATAACAAATCCAAATTTTCCGAATGCGCCGAATCATACATAGACTACTCGGAATGACACCAAATTTTGCATTCAAGTCTTAAATGACATTACGAAACTATTCTCGGTCTCGAAATTCAATTCGGACCTCCATTACTCTAAAACCTACTCCAAACCAAATTTAAAGAATTTTAAACCTTGAAATAGTTAATTTTTACTATTAAGCGCCAAAACGCTTCCGGGTTATCAAAAACCCGATCCGAATATACGTCCAAGTCCGAAATCATCATACGAACCTATTGGAACCGTCAAATCCCGATTCCGAGGTCGTTTTCTCAAAATGTTGACCGAAATCAAACTTGGCCTTTTAAGGCCAACTTAAGGAACCAAGTGTTCTGATTTCAATCCAAACACTTCCAAATCCCGAACCAACCATCCCCACAAGTCATAAATCAATAAAAGCACATACGGGGAGTTTTATTTTAGCGAATGGGGTTCTAAAAGTAAAAATGACTGGTTTGGTCATTACATTCTCCATCTCTTAAACAAACGTTAGTCCTCAAACAGGTTTAGAATAATACCTGGAGTGGCAAATAAGGGTGGATATTTGCTCCGCATGTCCTCCTCGGCCTGCCAAGTCTCTTTCTCGACTGGTTGGCCCCTCCACTATACTTTTACTGTAGAAATCCTCTTGGACCTCAACTAGCGAATATGTTTATCAATAATGGCAATTGGCTCCTCTTCATAACCCAAGCTATTATCTAGTTGAACTGTGCTGAAGTCTAAAACATATGATAGGTCGGCATGGTACTTCCGAAGCATAGATACATGGATAACCGGATGAACTCCTGATAGACTGGGAGGCAATGCAAAGTCATAAGCAACCTCCCCAACTCGTCTCAACACCTCAAACGGGCCTATAAACCTGGGGATCAACTTCCTCTTTTTCCAAAATCTCATGATTCCCTTCATCGGCAAAACTTTCAAGAGAACTTTTTCACCCACAATAAACGATAAATCACGCGTTCTCTAATCTACGTAACTCTTCTGTCTGGACTGTGTTGTATAAAGTCGCTCCTGAATCAACTTTACCTTTTCCAAGGCATCTTTCACCAAATCAATACCATATAACTTAGCCTTACCGGGCTCAAACCATTCGATGGGTGAACGACATCGCCGACCGTATAAAGCCTCAAATGGAGCCATCTCGATGCTGGATTGGTAACTGTTGTTATAAGCAAACTCGGTCAAAAGCAAGAAACGATCCCACTGACCTCCAAAGTCAATCACGCATGCCCCTGAGCATATCCTCCAAAATCTGAATTGTCCGCTCTAACTGCTCGTCTCTCTGCGGATGAAAGGTTGTGCTGAGCTCTACACGGGTCCCAATTCACTTTGTACTGCTCTATAGAAATGTGAAGTAAACTGAAGGCCTCTATCTGATATGATAAAAATTGGCACACCATGCAACCGAACTATTTCCTGAATATATATTTGGGGCAACCTTTCTGAAGTATATGTAGTCACAACCGGAATGAAGTGTGCCGACTTGGTCAACCTGTCCACAATGACCCAAATTGTATCAAACTTCCGCAATGTCCTCGGAAACCTAACTAAAAAGTCCATAGTAATGCGTTCCCATTTCCACTCCGGTATAGTCATCTGCTAAAGTAGGCCACCTGGCCTCTAGTGCTCATATTTAACTTGTTGGCAATTTAGACACCTAGCTACATACTCAATTGTGTCTTTTTTCATTCGCCACCACTAATAATGCTGCCTCAAGTCACGATACAGCTGCGTAGCACCTAGATGAATAGAATACCGAGAATTGTGTGCCTCCTCTAGGATCTTTTTCCTGAGTCCATTCACATTAGGAACACATAGACAATCCTGGAGTCATAGAACACCATCCGCGCCAATAGTAACTTCCTTGGCACCACCCCCGTAGTACCGTTTCTTAAAGAACCAATAAGTGTGGATCATCATACTGGTGAGCCTTGATCTGCTCAAATAGTGAAGATTGGGCCACAATACATGCAAATACTTGGCTGGGCTCTGAACTATCCAGTCGCACAAGTCTGTTAGCCAAGGATTGAATATCCAAAAGCTAATGGCCTCTCCTCTGTTGAAATGAAAGCCAAACTACTCATACTCTCCGCCTTTCTACTCAAGGCGTCTGCAACCACGTTTGCTTTTCCCGGATGATACAAGATAGTAATATCATAATCTTTTAGTAACTCAAGCCATCTGCACTGTCGCAAATTTAGATCCTTCTACTTGAACAAATGCTACAAACTGCGATGATCAGTTTAAATCTCACATGACATCCCATAAAGATAATGCCTCCTAATCTTAAGAGCGTGAACAATCATAGCTAACTCTAAATCATGTACTAGATAATTCTTCTCATGGGGCTTCAGCTGACGTAAAGCATATGCAATAACTCGCCCTTCCTGCATCAATACACAACGCAAGACAATGCGTGAAGCGTCATAATATATTGTATACATCCCCGAACCGGAAGGCAATACTAACACTGGTGTTGTAGTCAATGTTGTCTTGAGCTTCTGAAAGCTCACTTCACAATCGTCAGACCATCGGAACGGAGCACCCTTCTGGGAGGTGCTGCAATAGATGAAAAACCCTCCACGAACCGACGATAATAACCTGCTAAACCTAGGAAACTCCTAATCTCATCCGCCGAAGTGGGATGATGCCAATTCTGAACTGCCTCAATCTTTTTGGGATCAACCTTAATACCCTCGCCCGATAAAATATGCCCCAAAAATGCTACAGACTCTAGCCAGAGCTCACATTTGGAGAACTTAGCATATAGCT